CAGAGAAATCCCTGTTGATAGTTTCAGCTGCATTGCAAAATTCAAAGATCTCAGTCAGACAACTTGATTTATTGACTCATCCAGGCACTGGATGAAAACAAAAGGCCCAATCCCTGCCCTTGAAAGCTAATAAATACAACATGCCCTGATCACTGACAGATATTTACTGGCAAATATTTACAGATATGTTACAAAGAGAATACTTCAGTACTGACAACATGTGCTGGGAGGGACCAGAAAAGGGTGGTGTTCACTAGGGAATATGCTGGCTCCTTTTTTAAGGAAGGAGGAAAGCAAGGCAGAGTGGTTAGAAAACACCGAAATCAATGTAAATGAGGCTGGATTCTGCTGACCTTGGGGTCAAACGCCTGTTCTTATTTGGTTACGGTCTCCATGTGTTCTTGATTGGATTTTCAGTCGGGAGACTGATGGGAGAACTCATTGGCTATGGATGACTGGAGCTGGTGTCAGTGTCTTCTTGTCCAGTTAGCTTTGGGCAGAGGGGACCATGAATCACAGACATGACTTTGGGTTTCTACCTGAAGAGAATTCTTGGCGATTTTCAGTTAACAATCTATTATAAATACAGTGTTTCTACAGGAGACTGGATGTAGGGCCTCCCAATGGATACTGAAGTCCTGAAGGTGCTGTAGCCTCCTTTCCCATACCTTAAATTCTCTCTAGACTCACTCACTCTAACATCTACTTTGATGCATAATAGTTCCCATCAGTATATTATTTCAGGAAGGATGACAAGAAAAAATATGTATGTTTGCTTGACTTTGTTTTTCCTGAGTGTGTTCAGTCCATGGATAGCTGAATAATGAGGCTGCAAGACTGGGTGTTTGGAGACTGGGAGGCCCACTGTTTAGTAGACAGTTCATAGAAACCAAAGATGAGAGAGAACCTGGAACATGGGAGCTTGGTGCAAACTCAGTGTTCTGCAACACGGCTGTGAGTCCATTTACCGGTTAAACAGCAATGGCCAGGTGAAAGAACTAGGCTATTTCTAATGGACTATTATATGTTCAGAGATGTGAGGGGGAAAAGGAGAGGATTCTGTTTTCAGAAGAAGTAAACAGGGTATCTAACAAAGGAGACATGACCATGCTTTTGAGGAAACCAAGAAGAAGCAGAAAAGACATTTGAAAAGGCTTGTTACATTTTCTGATTTTTTTTTTTTTTTAGATAAGTTCAAGATTAGTTTCAAGAGTCAAGTATTCCCCTCAATTTGAAGAAGAAGAGGAGGAGAAGAAGGAAAATAAATTCCTTTGTGCAGAAAAATCATTTAAAACTTCAGAGGTGTACCGGCAATTAGCAACCTATTATGATGCGTTATGCAGATGTTATGCAGAATACTGTAGATGCTGAGATACTGGGAAGGAGAGAGAGAGAGGCGAAGAGGACCTGGTGCTGGTCTCACAGAGTTTGCAGGTTAGATATCCGCACAAGATACAAGAGACCACGATGATCAGGACAGTGCATCAGGAGGACTTGAATATTTATTCAAAGCAAACGCATAGACTTGCCATCATTGTTTCCCTTAAGAAATGATTGTTTTTGTTTTTTTATTTAAGAGAAGTTATTTATGCCCTATGTGGTGGGTGTATTACCATGATTCTTGTTCTGACTAGATTTGTGGTCTGCGGGGGTAGGGGGGGCGGAAGGTTTGGGCGGAGAATAGTCTCTCTCTCTCCTGGATTTTAGGCAAAGGCCACTGAGGACAGAGGAAAGTAGGAAGAGTAGGTGGCTTTTACATGATGTAAATATGTTTTTATTTATTTTAAGTAATTTCAAAGCTCCCTTTACACCCTTTTATTAGTGTAAGGGCTAGTTAGTTGTTTTTTTTTTTTTTTTTCAGCTTGACATAATCTAGGGTCATCTGGGAGAAGGGAACCTCAACTGAGAAAATGCCTCCACCAGATTGGCCTGTAGGCAAGTCTGTGGTGGCATTTTCTTGACTGATTGATTTGGGAGGGCCCAGCCCACTGTAGTCTGTGCTGTGCCTGGGCAGCCCATCCTGGGTTGTATAAGAAAGCAGGATGAACAAGGCACGAGGAACAAGCTAGTAAGAAGTGTTCCTCCAAGGAAGGCTTCATTTCCTGCCTCTGGGTTCCCACTCTGACCTTTCTTCATGATGGGTTAGCTGGAAGCTGAATCCTTTCCCCTCTAAATTGCTTTTCATCATAGTGTTTATCACAGCAATAGAAAGAAAATTTGGACAGTGTGCATTCATTGTATAACATGATAGATTTTTGTAATGATGTTTTGGTAAAGTTCCTTTACCATATTTGCTCCCACTATCTTCTCCCATGTCCCATCAAACAAGTCCCTCTTGGCTGTCATCAATTCCTTGTGTGTTGCTTGTCATCCTGAGTCTGGCATAGTTTGCACGCTATGATGATCTCTAGCTCTATCCGTTTTCTTGCAAATGACACACTTTCCTTTTTCCTTATGGCTGAATACACTCCACTGTGTATATATAGTGCCTATGCTTTACCCATTGAGATGCTTTGGCTGTTCTGTAACTTGCCCATAGAGGCACAGGTGTGCGCGCATTGACTCAGACTCCTTTGGGCATATTCTCAGGAATGCTGTGGCTGGTCAGAGCTCTTTACATGGATGTCCTGTTTTTTATTTTCTTCATCTGGCCTTCTGCCCCTATCATCTTTCAATATTTCATGACAGTCTATACTATAATATTAGAAGGTTGCTCTACTTTTATTTTAGTTTTTGAAGACTCTTCACAGTGAATTCCACAGCGGCTATACTAGCTGATAACATCTCCAGAATGGCCTAAGGGTTCCCCTCCTTCGTCCTCACCAGAATCTGATGTTGTTAGTTTTAATGGTAGCCATTTTATCTGGGGGTGAAATGGATTCTGAGGGCAGTTTTGAATGTTTTTTCCCCTAGATAAGGATTTTGAACATTAATTTTTTTTTAGCTATTTGTACTTTCTCTTTTGAGAAGTGTCTGTTTATTTCATTTGTCCATTTGTTGATTGGATTCGTTTCATGAGCGTTTTCTTTTCCCCCATTCTTTTAACATCCTAGATATTAACAGCCTAAATTTCAAAAGATGCTGGGTAGTCAAAGCAATCCCGAGCGAAAAGATCTGGAGGGACCACAATGCGTGTTGTAAATATCCCTGAACCACAGGAAGAAACACAGCATGGCGTTGCCACAAAAACATGCAAATCAGAGGAACAGAAGATTCAGAATGGAATCAGTGCGGCTGCAGCTCCTGCTGTCTCGATAGGTGCCCGAAGCACACACTGGGGAAAAGAAGGTCTCCAGCACACCGTGCTGAGAAAACGGGACTCTACGTACAGAGGAGTTAAACCGGGTCTCTGTCTCTCACTGTAGCCAAAAATCAACTCCAAATGGATCAAAGTCCTTAACGCGAGACTCAAACACCTTAATCTGTCAAAAACAAAACAAAACAAAACAAAACAAAACAAAACAAAACAAAACAAAACAGCAAAAAACCCTTCATGATTCAGGAAAAGGGAAAGATTTTCTGAAAAGAGCCCTAAGCCCACCGGAAATTACTGTAAAGACTGACAAGCAAGGTTGAATGATATCAAAATGCTTCTACACCATGAACGGAGCAACAGAGTGAAGGGACGGCCTCCAGAATAGGATGAAAAACAAAAACAAAAACTAAGCCTGAAGCCTAGTTTGTAAATGCCTTGAGAGACTTGAAGAAAGAGACGCCGGAGACAGGAGGATGGGGTTGGGGCGCACCGGTAGGTGGCGCCTGTTTCTTCCGGGCCGGGTACGATGTGCTCACAGCCTGGAATCTCAGGAATTGAGGGGAGCCCTGCAGCAAGGTCCACGCAAGTGTCACAGATCACGTCACCCTTAGTGCTGAGCCCATGAAGTCACTAGCTCCACGCTGTTGCCTAGGCTATCACGGGTCTGCATTACTGTGTGTCTGATAAAGTTGTATCACGTCCAGACTTCGCTCCAGCCTCACTTCCCCAAGCCAACTCACCCCACAGAGACTATCAGGCTCTGGGTGCAGCCCCAGGGAGTTGGCTCTGAAGTTGTGGGAAGGGAGCGCTGCCTTATCAGTGTTTCAGCCGGGCGGCCTTCAGGTGACACAGGTCCAGTGGCTCTTCCGCGGCGTGCAGGCTCTGGCTCGGGCAGAATATTTGTTCCTAATCAGACACGCAAGTTCCTATGCCCCACATGGACAATAAGGCGCACACTGAACATTTCATAGCACCTGGACTGAGGTTTAAGATGTGAACTTTTGGATCACTAGGCCATTGGCTTTGTAACTTTTGGGGTACTATCTAATTGGGGGCTCAATCAGTCTTCTCCCTCATATGACAATGTATTCTAGCACAAAAACCATCCTTTCTCAAAGACCCCCTTGTAGATTTGTCCGTTTGCACTGAAGTCCCGTCGCCGTGGTCTGCAGTGAAGGTGCAAAGCCTTGGTGACTGTGGGCTGCGGGCTCGCCTTCCATTCCACGGTTGCAGGGGTGGTCTCGGCTCCGCTTAACTTCCTCTGTCAACCGGAGGAAGCAATGTTTTCACTCACAGGCTTCCTGGATCCAATGACAGCATCTGTGTGGCAAGCACCTAAATGCCAGGGGGCGTCAGTGAGGGTAAAGCCACAGCGGAAAACTGCCTTTTGTAGGGGGCGGGAGGGGGGAAACTCCGGGTCAGTCAGCCAGAACCATTCTCCTTCCTTTGACCTTGCATTTCGAATCTCATCCCTTGCCGCGCTTTTCCCAAACGGCATTAAGACAAAAACAAACAACCAACCAACCAAACAACAACTCCCCGACCCGCAGACATAAAAAAAAAAAAAAAAACCAACCGAAAAACCCCGACGGGTGAAAGTCAAGCAGAACGCGCCTCCGGTTGCAGCCGGCGTCGGGGGGAGGAGCGCCGAGAGGCTGCGGAGGAGGAGGAGGAGGAGCGGCGGGCGGGCGGGCGCGCGGGCACGAGCGCGAGCAGACACACACACGCGCGCCGCCGCCGCCGCCGCCGCAGCCCTCGGCTTCCGCGCCTGGAAACCTCAGCGACCGCGCCGCTGCTCCCCGGCTCTGCGCCGCCGCCCCTCCCGCGAGGCCAGCGGGGAAGCGCAGCGGGGACTCGGGGCCTCCGGGAGGTGGTGGTGGTGGGGGAGAACCTGTGACCCCCCGCGCGGGAGCGGCGGGGCGGGGCGGGGCGGGGTGGGGTGGGGGACCGGGAGAAGATGGCGACGTCGGGAAGCGAACCCCAAGCTTTCGCGCCCGCCCTCTCGGTGACCGCCCTGCACCCGCATCTGCACCCGCACCACCAGCATCACGGAGGAGGCGCGGGCGGCGCGGGCGGCTTCAACCTGCCCTTGAACCGCGGTCTGGAGCGCGCGCTGGAGGAGGCGGCCAACTCTGGGGGCTTGAACCTGAGCGCCAGGAAGCTGAAGGAGTTTCCCAGGACCGCAGCCCCGGGGCACGACCTCTCGGACACGGTTCAGGCAGGTGAGACGGGGCCGGGGCTGGCCGTGCTCGTGCGGGGCGGGAGCACCTTTCCGCCGGGGCCCGAGGGGGCTGCAGCGCGCACGGCGGGCTGCAGCCTGGCGGGCGCGGTGGCCCCCTCGGCCCCGCGAGCCGCGAGCGTGGTGCGGGAGCGCAGGGATGCGCCTGGCGCGCGGGAAGTGGGAGATCCCGGGCGGGCCCCGAGCCGTCTCCGTGGAAGCCTTCTGCGTCCTGGCGAAGGGGAGGGGAAGCCCAGACAAAGGTGGCCGGCCCTGGGCCAGCCTCGTCCTCTCCCGAGGAGTGTCGCGGCCCCGGGGCCACCGCGCCGCGCGACCGTGGCTCGCCGAAGCCCGAGAGGCGGTGCCAGCCTTGGTTCTGCGCCTGTGCGAGCAGAGCCTGGTGGCTGGCTCTCCGCCCACGCATTTCGGTTCCCTCCGCCGGGTCTCCCCAACTAACCGGGCCTTTGCGGGGCCGGGGGGGGGGGGGGCGGCGGTCCTGCCAGGGAAGCGTGGCGTGGTGAATGAAAAGTAATTAAAGTGAGCCTGCTTGCCAGTGCGAGCCCGGCAAGTTGTAACTCGCGCCAAAGAGCAGCCGGCTTCTTCAAGCTGTGTCATGTGTTGACATAGTTCGGAGATGGGTGCTTTCCCTTCGGTAGTCCGGAGTTGTGGGAGCGGATCCATAAACAGGAAGGAGGGTGGTGGAAAAGGGTTGGGGCCTCGGGATCCGTGCACATCTGACTTGGTTCCCGACCATCCGGTTCCGCTCTTTGCGGGACACTGTGTACCCCGGCGAGCGCCTCTCATTTCCAGGCACAGTGGGTGCCCCATTTTTGAGCCACTGCCTAGACCCCCAAGGCTGTCATTGCCTCTTCCGACGTGCGTCACGTCTCTGGATTTCTGGGTTGCGAAGACTCTCGGGTCAGGGTCTTTCAGCTTCCCTTTCTGAAGGAAGACTAGGGGGCGGGGCAGGAGAGCCAGCCGTGGCTTTCGGAGGCTACGTCTCCTCTCTCGTCTCTCTCGTTAATTCCGTAAACATTCATCTGGCGGCCAACTGAAGATTTAGATGGAGTTCCGAATCCGCTGGAGGCCAGAAACACTCCTCAGGGGTCATTAAACGGTGATATTTGGATTTGAGGATTGTCAGGAAATGGGCAAGCAAGCAAGCAGACGGGGAATTCCAGAACTCGGTTCTCAGCAGCTGGAGAGGCTCTTGATAGGACCTCATTGTTGCGGCTTCTCAAGTAGAAATTAGAATCTAGGAGTCGCCAGAATCGCCCTATACTCGTTTCCTCCTGCCGTAGTTGGAACGGCTGGGTACTGCAGAGTAGAGCCAGCACGACCAATGCTGACACCTTTGTGTTCAGTAGCAGGCTTCGAGTTTTTCCAGCACTAAGATATTGTTGAGGATTGCTCCCGAAGCTGGATAAAGTAGGCGTGTGTGCTGTGCTATTGTTTCTTTGCGAATACCGTTGCTTTAAAAGTTGTTGTTGGTGTCCATCTTTCAGTTACAACCCCTACCAGCGGTTGCTGCTTGTGAAAGTGTCCTCCCGGTTTTCCTTGGTTGTGTTCGGAGGGTTTTGCAGGCGTTTAATTAGGAGTTTTACAGATATTTAATGCTCCTAAGATTCCTAACTACTTAAAATTAAATGGCTTCATGTTACTTCTGTAGGCTAAAACGTATGGGGGCAGAAGAGGAGAAAGGATCCCAGCTACTCAGGACAGAGACAGGTAGATCACAGTGTCAAGGGCTGCCTGGACTACAGAGATGTAGGCACGTCAGGCAATATCATAAAGAGAAGAAAGGGTAGCCAAAGAGCCAGTTGTTCTATGTAAATACTTTAATATTCACATGTGTTGAGCAGGACTGATTTCTTTGGCTCACGTCAAAGCTGAGTATAGGCACACATTCCTCTCTCTCCCTGTTCTCCATAAATATTTAGGGTGGACATGGGGACTATACCTGTGATCCCAGGAGTTGGAGGCCAGTCTGGATTTACCAGTGAATTCCCAGCCATCCCGGGGTTACCGGGTGAGGCCCTGACTCAGTCCTCATACCTCCACGCCCCCACGCCCCTCAAAGAATATATTTAATTGAGCACTTTTCTTTATGTGTTAGAGCAACAAAGCAAAATAGAGACATTCAGTGGGTGGTGTTGACATTTCCTACACATGAGGAGTTCAGGGAGTTGATGAGTGTTTGGTAATAATAAACCCCACACAGATGGTGCTTTCTCTTAGGCTCAAGCAGAATATCCAAGCATGGCATATGAAGATCTTTTAAACCTTTCCACAAGTTTTTTTTCTGGGTAGTAGGGATTATAGAAAGCCCCTTCTCTTTGTTATCCTTTCATGGATCACAGACCAGTTGGTGTGTGTCCTGTAACATGTAGCTTTTCCAGCAGCCACTTCTGCAGACAGCTTCCTATGCTTGGGCAACGCGGCGCAGCTGAACGGAGATGTGAAGTCAAGGATGAGAGGCCCAGAGCTGCTCAGTAGAAGTCTAGGCCCTTGTCACCCAAATGCCTGCACTTCACTCTTATAAAAAACAAAACAAAACAGAACATAAAACAAAACCAAAACAAAGAGCCTTTGCTTCTACTTTGAGACTGTTCATTTACCCGAATTTCAGTCTAAACAGCATTTGTTGCGCAATGGCAGGCAGTCTGTGAGTAGGCTTTTTGAGAAGTGGATGGGGACAGTGGTGCAGGTGTTACTGGCCTGGCCCAGATTAGAACTGATGTGTGGGCATGGTACTGCTTGGCTAACTGTGAAGTACTTTGTATCAGGAGCTCAGTTGGACCCTCATTTCCATGTGTAGAGACCGACCTGGAGACAAGCAAGGCACCATGCTGAGAATCATACCCCTCCTAAGGCACGCACTGGGGATTTGAATCCGGAAGGCTTCTCTCTAGTGTTCCTGTTCTGACCATCTCCTGCTGGCCAGAGTGTGATGGTGGACTGGGGTAGAACTTGGGAGGCTTCTTGGAGGTTCATCCCATAGACATTCATCCATTCACCCATTCCCATGAAGTTTTCACTCTGATTTGAGGAATGGATTAGGAGATAAACAAAACAGTTTATCTTTCAAGATGAGTAAGAGGGTTTTTTGGATGCATGTCATATCTTTGTTTTCTAAACACAAGGGCTGGTTCACATGGACTTGAGGTTGCTCACAACAAGAGCACATAATGAGTGTCGTAAGTATAAACAGAAGCACGCCATTGGACCTGATGAGAAGAAAATTCCCTCTGGTGTTGATTTATTACCTAGAATCAGTTCAGATACAGAAGTTCAAAAGGGTGTTTGTATGACTAAGTGAATTGAAAAGAAAAGAAATCTGAGAGTGGCTGTCTGCATGAGGCTCAGGAAAATAAAAAAGAAAACCCTTACACAGGACTTTGGAAATTGGTATCGTTTAGCCAGGGCTGATGGCATGTGCCTGGAATCCCAGCACTTGAGGGGTGTAGGGGGTTTAGGAGTTTAAGGTCATCTGTCAGTACACGGTGAGTTCGAGGACAGCCTGAGCTTTATGAGACTATGCCTTAAAAAAGGTTTGTACTGTGACTGAGCAGTGGAGTCTGTCATTATCAGTGTCTTAACTGAGACTACGAGGGAAATGGAGGGCTTGTCTAGCTCTGTGGCATAAATAGTTACTGAGGCTGGACCTGATGGAACAGGCCTGTTGATCCCAGCTACTCAGGACGAAGACAGGTGCATCACAGTTTCAAGGCCCTGCTGGAACTACAAAGCGAGGTCAGAGCCATTCTAGGGGGAACTTAGAGCTTGTCTCAAAACTGAAACTAAAAAGAGCTTGGCCTATCGCTAGGTGGTAGAGTACTGCAAACATGTGTGAGACGCTAGGCCGAATACTTCAGGCCCTGTAGCACTCTGTGCAGGTGCCCTACCATTGTGCTACCCTACACCCGCCCCCCCCCCCCCATGTGTATTTTTTGTGTTTGATCGGGGAGTGGAGCTGCAAAGTGTAAGACATGAAAAGCAAAGTGGAAGGTTCAGGAAGCCACCGGAGCCCCACAGGGCAAGTGAATGGTCAGACAGCACCAGGCACTGGGCGAAGCCCGCAGAGTGGGAAAGGCTTCTGTGGCAGAGGTTAGGATGGCCTTCAGGGCTTGCAGGGTGGATGTGGGTGGACATGACCACGAGCGTTCTGTGGCTGGAAAGATGAATCTAGGACGGGGAGGGAGAACTGTCGTTAAAAGAAGAGAGCGTATTTAGGCCTGTCCCCTGGCCATGTCTGCTCACCCCACCTTACAGTGGTCCAGAGCCCAGAGTTTCTGTGATCTGTTGTTTGAGGGCTGTGGGATTCGGCAGCATCCCACCCTCTCCTGCCTGACAGTACCTCTCTTTAGTGTCTGTGAAGATTCAAGACCCCGGGGCAGGCTTGTGTGCAGCAAGTCGACTTCCCCTACCCCACCCCCACCCTGTAGCCGCAGAGTCCTTGGCTATAAGCATATTTTAGCCATTGGAATCCACACAGAACTTGATAATGAAATCTGGTTTTCATAACATGCCCTGTTCCGTAATTTTGGCCATGCAGATTTTTCACTGTTAAATATAGTGAACCATTTAAAACCGCATTTTCTTTTTTCTTTTTTTTTCTTTTTGGTTTTTCAGGATAGTATTTCTCTGTGTGGCCGTGACTGTCCTGGAACTCATTCTGTAGACCAGGTTGGCCTCAAACTTAGTGAGTCCCAGGAAAGGCAGAGCTACACAGAGAAGCCCTGTCTCACCCTCCATCCTCACTCCCACCCCACCCCCAACAAAGCAGACAAAAACTTGCAGTCTTCCTTGGATATATCTAGTTTTAAATTGTTTTTCCGCTGTTTAATTGGTTTGTTGGTTATTGATGACATTATTTTATTAGTCACTTATTCTTTTAAATTTTTAATAATTTTTAGGGAATTTTATACATGTATATAATATATTTATATTCACCCCATTACTTTCTCCTTTGCCCTGCCCGTCTGCCTGAACCCCTTCTTCCCA